TTTTCGTTAAACTGTTATTTTTAACTATTATGGTTGGTTTTCAATTTATAAATTAGGTAATTTAACTATAAACGGCGTTATTAATTAATACAGTTTTTTTTTTATATTATTACTACAAAGAAATGTAGTGATATAATTTAGACATTCCTTTATCCTTTTCATTGAAAGAAACAAAAGGAAGACGTGTTTCGTCTTAAAGACAAAAAATCTGTATATCTAGTAATAAGTCCATTACAATGCCAGGAATCCTATTAATAAATAAGGCAAAAGTATTGCTATATTTACTTTAAGCAGTAAAAACCTTTATCGATATGGAAGCTAAAGATTATGATTAGGATAAGTATGATCATCACAAAAGGAAGCCACAATGACAAATAAAGTGGTACTATAATTTTCTTAAACTATGATTACCACATTTCATCTTAAGTTATAAAATATTTATTGAACGAGTGACAGTAAAAAAGAAAATTAAATTTATTTAAGTGACATTACTATTGTGTTTTATTTGAATATTATGATATTTATTTGATCGAGATAATTTGTGATAAAATGCCATCATTTAAAGAAATTACTTAAATATTATAAAACTGTTTTACAACATGTTTAAAAATTTACATTTAACGTGATCATGCTACACGCTTAGGTAAAAATGTAAATCTACGAGCATTGCCAACGTTCAATTTTCACACGATTCCACGTTGCTGAAGATTATAAATATTTAATGGAAGAAGACGGTTTCTTCAAATCTCTTTAAATATCAGTCGCTTCACAATTACTGATATTATAAATATGACTTCAAACAGATTTAAAAAAAGGACTGCGATGAATGACTTCTCAATTTTAATGATAATAGAAAATTGATTAAGGAAATAGAGAATAAACACATTCTATGTCAAAATGTACCTAAATCTAACAATCAATTTCTTTAAATATCAGTTGCTTCTCGATTACAATTCTTTTCTATCAAACTAATATGTACCTTACTAGGTAGTATAATAAAATTGTAACCAGACGATATCTATATGTAGAAGATAGTTAAGAAAAATTAATATGTATAAGGAGTTTTAATAAGATTCATAAATGCAAAAATTATGATTTTTAGAAATGTTGTCTGTCTGTATGTTTCTTATGGTATTATGTTAAGCGATTTACATAGATGTATTCCTAAATGACTAACTTAAATACTTATATATATTTTATCTTAAAACGCCATCTAGAAGTGGTCTATTTAATTAGTTTTCCAACTTCTTTAACATCTTCAAAATCTACGTGCACGAAGCAGCGGGCTAAAAGCTAGCTTTATATATAATTTTTTTTTATATTAATAATTAAATCACGCTTAAACGTAGCTAAATAGACTTAATATATAACATTCAAATAACTGTATCATTTTTTTATCCCAATTTACTCAGTCAAAATTGTGGGTACAGCTTGGTTTTTGATAATTATATTTTTTGTTGTCGGTGAAAAAGTAGCTGTGAGGCTTGGAATTATTTTTAGTTACTTCTTGAACTTTCATATAATTTAATGTTACAAGACACGATATAAATGCTGTTACAAAGGTATACTCATAATTTCGTATGATCTTCTATACTTCGTGTTTAGGACAACCTAAAATGTCATTTTCTTTATTCACGAATAGGAACGATTTCAGAATGAACGTATTTCATGATACAAATCACACGAAATTTTAGTCCAAATTGTCGGAATTACACTTTAAGGTCGACTCACAAAAATCTCGTAGTTTACGAATTTTGATAAAACATATTTTTTTTCAAAATGCGAAACGTGATGTTACACTAGTTCTCTAATGAGTGCTTTCGAGGTTTGCATCTCACAATAGTAATGAATAAAATGCCGAAATGATCTGACAAACTTTTACGGTCAAAAAATAATGAGTCACAGCATCGTTTATTTTACATAGAATGTTTTTATGTGCTATTTCTTTAGTAAGTAGTTTTATTATCTACATTATTTGATACTAAAATTCACTTATTTTTCTTTGCCTTTTTTCGTATAACGAAAGTAAAGAATAGGTACTCGTACATCGTTCTTCAAAATACGACTTATTTCGTCATAATTCATAAGAGACTACTAAGAAAATAAAGCACAACGCTAAAAAGAAAAACTGCAAATAAAACCCTATGCTTACTAAGCTATCTAACAAACGCACGTTGTAATAGTAGGTCATATCCTTCTCTTATGGGATGAGAACCATGTTGAGCAATGGGACATTAAACGTTAATGAGTTGTTGAGATAAAGTTAGTCATTATATGAATTTATTTTTTATTTTACCGCTAGATTTTTGATGATATTTAAAAATATTTGCAATAAATAATTGCCACTTATTTAATCATAAATAAATGTATTAAAGAACATTAATTTTAAAGTTTAGTAAAGTATAAGGTTAGTAAGTAGGTACTTTTGGTAATAGAAAGATTCCAGAATTTAAATTGATTATTTACAACGATCTGTATCTTTCCTGTGAATCCTGTGATTTAAAGATCCACTGAGTTTCTTCAAGAAAAGGACTTCGCTTGTTCATTGAATCGTTTTGGCCTTTCCGTGTCCCCAGACAGAAGGAATTAAATATTTATTAGGCGATTTTTAAAGCCGCGTTTAGTTTATTCAATACTTTTTTTATGCAAATTAGAATGGCAAACAAGTTGATGGCCTGATGGAAAGTGGTAACCGTCGCCTATAGACATGTACAGTACTATATATGTTAAACCTAAACTGAGTAGATATCCTTAATTTAGATTATATCAAAATCTCTTGATAGGTAGATAAAAAGACCTGGCATTACTGTAAAGAAATTGTTCTAGCAAGAATGTTAGCTAGTTTAATGTAAATGCGAGTAGTATTTTTAAAACATTAGTTATTTCTTGGTTAGTACATTGTAATTTGTATAATATACCTATTTCGAATTTAATTCTTCTAGTAATAATTTGAATAAAAATGTAATAGTATTAATGTGCGAAATTTTGTGACAATCTTGATATTTATACATATTTTAGTAGTAAATGCATTACCTACTTAATTTTCTGCTTGTCTCGTAGAAAACGCCATTAAGGTGTGTTGTTAAGTCCACCATATGTTCTCTTATTTACATAATAATGCATTAAAGTTTATATATATAAATAAATAAATATTACCATTTGTGGCAGGAAATAATACTTTACCATACAGTACAAATCACAAATTAACATATGTAATAAGTGATGCAGCAACAACACGGTAAGTCAACTCGCATAAAACTCGACCACCTTTTGAATTCATATACTTCGAGTCTAGCTTTTATAACACACTAGCTTGCAAGAAGCTTCACTCATATGGAAATTTTTAATTTTCTTGAAGTAATGAGAATTCTAAAAATGAATAGAATTTAAAGTAAGGAAAATGGAAGATGTCACTTTTTGACCTCCAACTATCTCTATGCAAAAATTAAAGATATCTGTTGCTCTTTCAAGAATTAAGGACAAAACAGTTTCGGATATCAGTTAAATTATAGGATAGAAACTAACATGGTTTGGAAAGTTATATCTGTATTATAAATTTAGAAGATTTTTACGTTGCATGGTTTATAGTTTAGAAGAGTCTATAATTAATGTAATTATGCTGGTAAAATATAGTAATTTACTTAGAACTATCTCGACGCTTCTACTAGATTACGCCTAACGTAGTGACGAGCTTACGTTGACTGATGCGGTCATTTCGTGGTCACATCCAAAGTCGAAACGTATCCATATGAAACACATATTATCACATCGAGTATGAGGATATTATTATTATATCAGCATATACTTAACGAATAATCCTATAAAATCATTAATCAATCTTAGATTGTATAGGATTATCAAGAAAATCTTGGCTCAGATACTTGATTCATTTGAATAGATACGATGATTGAGTATACTCGGTCAATGATACATACTAAAGTTTTATGAATAAACATTATAATCATCTGCAAAAAAATATGTTACTTTAAAAAGTCCATATATTAATAAATCTTAGGTTTAACTAGTAAATCTTAGCATATACCAACATAAGTTGGTAAATGTAAGAATTTTATAAAAAAAAATTTTTGTGGCTTTTACCAATCCATAACCTAACCTAAACTACCTTTCTGAACACAAGTAAGAACACCAAGTACTAAACATACCTAAATATTATGTCTATTACTGTAAAAGCCCAAATTAAGGTAAATCTTAAATTTTTCTACGTTTCTGTTGTAGAGACGTGATAAATGTTAAAAAATAGACATATTATTTAAACATATGTAGTGCTTGGTTTTCTTAATCATGATCAGATAGGTTTGGTTCGGTGGAAGCCCAAAAAATTATCTTTTTTTTAAGTCCTTACATTTAAAAACTCATACTGCATGATCCTAAGATTTTTTTGGTTAAACCTAAAATTTACCAATGTAGTGGCATTTACATTATCCTATAATTACTACGAGTATAAAGTTATTTGACATTAAATTGTTATACGTCATTATCAGAATATTAATAGTTAATAATTAACGTTAACTATCACAAACACGTGACAACTATAATACAATAACTAATCATGCAGAAGGGGGGTTGCGAACGTGCGTATCATATTGTGTGTTCTGTATGAACTGATGCCTAATTTGACAATGATCAAGCGATTTTATATTAGATATGATTTTTTCATGTCCATAATATATTGCTTCATTGTAATCACATATGACGACTTACAACGAAGCATATAATTACAGCAGCATGAAACATTTTCTAGATGAGATCGCTTAACATTTGTCAATATAGTTCATCTATTGTTGATGTGTGTATTTCACAATACTCTATATACCGCATATGATGGCGGTGATGAGCAGACGTGGCGGCGCGGTGACGTTCGCAGCCCCTGGCACTCAGGGTCGGAGACAGTCGCATGCGAAGCAGGAGGGGCGACGGTGGGGCAACATGAACGGGGCTCACTGAGAGGATGGTGCGGCGGCACGGAGAACGTGTAGTACTTGGCCGTTTGGTTGTGTGCTCGCAGCACAGAGCTGTGAGTCAGTGTGACCACCACCACGAGGACCGATGCTAGAGCTAGCGCGAAGAAGGAAGCGGCGACGGCAGCTACCACACGTCGTCTTCGTGCTTCCTTCCCAGCATCTTCTGGCGGGATTTCCGGCTCAGGCAGTGGCGGAGCTGGCTCAGGAGAGCGGCTGCGAACACTCGGCCCTCGGCTGTTGGGTAGTTCGAGCGTATGGCGACGAGAGCGGCGCGCGCGCTCGCATTCTGCAGCGGATGAATGGTGTCGACGCAGACGATGTGGTGCACCGGGTGCTACGCGACATGAGGCTGATCGCAGCGTACGCACAGGTACCATCAAATCATCGCTAGCAACTCGCGGTACGCGGGCCGAATGCACCGAGCGAAAAGAATGTTCTCGTGTGGAGCTACTCGGGAAAGCCAAATCAACAGAAGCGCGGGAAGAATGTCTCGAGAATCGGTCGCGATCTCGATGATCTATACGCACCGACATGGTGCGGGCGGATCGCGCGGCGGCGGCCGCCCGAGTGACGCGACTCCCTCCCCGAATCCCGCGTGGTCACGCCGCGCCGCTCCGCGCACCCATGTTTACAGTCGTCCCCGATCTCACAAAGAACGCTTACAAAATATTCCTCCACATCACGAGGTAACTTTAATGTGGCGTCTCCCTCGAATGGATGTCGTCGAATCCGTATTTGCACGATCAAGTGTTTGACTTTCCCTGTTAACACCTAACTTTGAACAAATGTTTACTTTATCATTTGAATTATTGAATATAACTTCGGGAAAGTGAATTTCGTGTAGATAATTTACTCTTTTGCGTAATCTCTGTATCTTATACGACATCGATCATTTAAAGTAGTTAATATTTTAATAAAAAAAACTTTATTGTTTTTTTAACTGTGTAATCAGAAAAAAAAAAGTCATAGCAATCTGAAACAGCTTTAAGAATAGTTTTTATGACCGAAATTGCGTAAGGACGTCAGTAAACCATTTAATATCTACAATTCCACAACTGGCAGAGGCTGAACACTAAATAGAGCGCGCAGCCTTTGTTGCAGAGTCCACGTTGTCAAGTTAAATTGTCTCGGAGGCGGGAAACGAAACAGATAGTAGAGAAGTTGTCGCGAAGCTGCTACATCGACACTATTCAATACAAAATACGTAGACACGCCATGTACAACTCAACTAGTAAGTCATCGCGACAATAATAACACAAACTGTTCTATAACAGTCGTATTCATATGTTTTGTGTTATGAAAATTCATATTTGTGTTATTAAACAAATTGTTTCCTATTTTATATTTTTAAAATTAAAAGTGATTTATCATATAGTAATACAACAATTCGTAATACGAATTGCTATTAAATTCAATAATAAGCAAAAGTTCCAGCATTCCATTTTAAAATATGTCTATAGTTATATGGCACGTATGCGTACCAATGTACTTGTCGAGTCGCAAGTTTTCGCTGTTCCTCGTTGTCTCAGTCCGCAACTGAATCGCTGTTGACGCACAATACAGTGAATACAATGAAAGCACGCTATCGGACATCCCTTAGATAAGATACGGATGCTTCACTCCAAACCTTTGACGTGTGGAAAATACCACATTCGCTGATAAATAACCAACTTTCAGAACTTAGAAATCTATAGTAGACTAATATTAGAATGTGAATTAAAATTCGTTGTTCATTTTTAGTGACATTGTTCCAAATTCAAACCTACAATCCTAAAATATATAGAAACTCATATTCAAAAGAACATCTGCATAAAAAGTTGCAAATTATACGTGGCTATATTACATTTGTTCCTGGTATGTTGCCGTTACATTAAAGCCATTTGAAGAACGAACGCGATTTGTTGCATTCTGTACGAACTCGTTCCCTTTGACTTTTTTAATGTGAACATGGACACTTATTATCCCGCTTTCGTATGTACTAGTAATAATCGTGAACATCCATTTATAGTATTATAGTATAAAAATATTATTTACCTAATGCTAGTAATTATATTAATGAATGAATGAAATTTATTGCTAAAATGTATTACAATAAGGTGTTACGGAAATATTACAAAAGTTGGTCTCACACATTTTGTCATTGCTGACATGCAACAAACATTACAAAGTTATGACAAAATAAATCTTTATATTAAAATTAGTTCTATATTTAACCATATTTATATAAATCAGAAATTTATGTCTATACCTAAATATTATTTTCAATATATTGATTGATGAAATTGTTACAATTATTATTATTAATAAATTAAAATAATAACAATACCAATTAAAATAATAAACAATAGTCAATTTAGTAATAATTATTTTTTAAACATTAATTCAATTGTAAAACATTAAAAGACAGTTTTTTTTATAATGTGTCAGTATTTTATATTTTGTATATATTCTTGGACACTATAGTAATACTTACTTATTAGCCATTTATGCATTTTTAAAATTTATTACAATATACATTTTTAAGATTTGTTAACAGTTTATTATATATTCTAATTGCAATGGAATAATTGCTGTTTTAACTACATAAGTTTATTATTAGTTGTTATTATAACAGGTAATAAATGAAACATTTTATATTATAGTTATAACTATTATTAGAACTATTGCCTAATGAAAATTATGTACGAGTTCTTATTATGCCTATGCAGATGACGTGACCGCATTTTCATGAATTCTCATCTCATGGCCGGTTTACAATACTAAAACTCTCGCATACGAATGCTTTAATAAAACAGTGCGAAATAGTAAACTTAAAGTTTCAGCTGAATAATACTCACTTAGAATTATTAAGTAATTACTTACTGTTTTTACTTAAATTGAAGGTTTAATAATGTAAACTGTAATGTTTTATGGTCCATTATAAGATGGAAAGAAAGATTATTCCTAAATATTAATGACTTAGCTAAGAAGTCATGACTAAATATAATGCAAACTCGCTCTAAATAATAAATCTTAAATATCAAAACTCTGCGAAAAAAAATTAACAATAATAAAACAATATAATTTTATCAACTAGCGTTATTTTACTATCTGAGACTACTGTCTTGTACCACGTGTAAATAAAACTCGATGTTTACATTACATTAATAGAACGTGAAGGAAATCTGGTGAGAATCATTTGGTTGGTTATTCAACTTTAATGAGAACTGCCCAGAAATTGTACATTTTTAGAAATTATTCATCTAAATATATTTATAACAATCTATACTTATGATATGAAATATATTTACAAAATAACTATCACAGATGCCAAAAATGCAATGAGTAAAATTTTTGTCTGTATATCTGTATGTTCGTTGTAGAAACAAAAACTACTCGACGGATTTTAACGAAACTTGGTACAATTATTCTTCATACTCCTGGGCAGATTACTGTATACTTTTCATCACGCTACAATCAATAGGAGCAGAGCAGTGAAGAGAAATGTTGAGAAAACAGAAAGAGTTACTCCATTTTTAAGCTTCCGTCGCGTGTGCAGTCTTAATGGCCACTTTTTAAAATGTAAAAACATCCACCCATGCGAAGCCGGGACGGGCCGCTAGTTATATACCTAATAAGAAACATTACTTAATATCGGAATATGAAATTTTGTATTTATGGTATTTCTCTTTAAGATTTTTTTTTCGTGTGAAGAAAACACTTCCAATTTCTACTGAAATAACAGATTTTGAGCGGACGAAACCGCAGGAAACATGTAGTTAAATATTAAACATGATTTTAGTAGATATTTTAAATGAAATAACACTATAACTAATGGAATATTTTTTATTTAAAAGAAAAAATAATGTCTCCCGTTGAAAAATATACTACTCGTATTTCTCGTCTATAGGGAAAAAGAAGTCACTTTCCGAGCGGAAGAGATAGAAAATATTTCTCTACATTCTGTTACTAGTTGTATAGGTAAAAATCAACAATTAAAAAAAATTATAAACTTCAGAATCTTTTCCATTATCCTCTAAATTTTCTCTGTTTATTTTCAAAGTAAACGAATTTTGGTAATACATTAGGGATTTTTAAACTGAGAATATTAATTATTATTATCATCATCATCATTTCAGCCATTATCCGTCCACTGCTGGACATAAGCCTCCCTCACATACTACCATAAAGAACGGTCCTGAGCCACCTGCATCCACTGACTCCCTGCAACGCATTTCAGGTCGTCACTCCATCTAATGCGGGTCGTCGTACACTGCGTTCACCCGTACGTGGTCGCCACTCAAGAACCTTTCTTCCCCATTAGTTCTTCGAACTATGTGACCATTAATTATTATACTTATTAATAATCCCAGTTTAAAAGCTATTAAATTTTGTCGGGTTAAATTTCTGCTTCTCAAATTACTTTTGAAAAATTAAACAACTATTCCACTACCTATAAAATAAACTTTATTTTAGATGAAGATAGACAGATAAATGAAAGATTCAAGAAAATCGAAGACTTACTCGAATTTAAAGCAATTTTCTTTGTTGTTTTAAATAATCTAATTAACAAATTAATGAATGAAAGCACGGTGCATACTTAAGTTATAATATTTATTTACGACATTGATTATAAGAAGATTCTTATGAGCTCAATTGTACATTGTAAATTATGTAATTAAACAGATATGTATATTGTAAAAATAGTTTTCCCTAATTCAATTGTAATAAAAACACTTATGTAAAAGAGTTGCTATGTAGATAGATTATAAATCACAAAAATTAAAATAAGAATCAATATGCCAAAAATCATTTAGAGTTTATTAATGAAATTTTATTACCATTATTGATATTTTATGTATATAATTTCCTTACATTATAAAGATAGAACATTACATAACATAACAGATAGAGCCTTAAAAACAGGTCAACTTTTTGTCAGCTAATTTAACAAATTTAACAATTTATTGACTCGTATTTTTATCAGTATTCTATATATTTACGCATAAAATGTATCTTGACTTATTTAATAAATAAAAAGATGCAGAATTTATAAGATAAAATAAATATAAAAGTTATAAAGGAATCACTTATAACTATTTATCACGCAAAATTGTATGAAATGTTGACCCGTTTTTTTCGAAGCATTTTTATATAGACACTCTATCTATACAATCTAAGTAGCAAATTTTAACAAATGTACATTTAAGTCTATACAATTCATACACTTTTTATATATTGAATATGAAAAATTGTGTAAAAATATGTATTTTCATATGCACCTAATTTACGTAATTATAACGATACTACTGGATCTAGAGCATCAATTTTCCACCATAATTTTACTACTATAATAAAACTATAACCAGGTAATCTCTGTATGTTGAAAATATTTAAGAAAAATTGATATGAGGGATCTTAATAAGAGTAATATAAACCGAAATAATAATCTTTAAAATTTTCGTCTGTATATCTATATGTTTGTTTCGGCATCGCGCAAAAACTATTACATCAAATTTGGTGCGGTTTTCATAGTAATATTCTTGAAGATCTAATTAAAATCTGGTGTATAATTTATACACTTGATATACCATCTAAAAGT